TGGGGAGTCCATAAGGTGGGTCTCCTGAACACAGACGATGTCTGGCCAGTTTCTGTACATCGTCGACATCTGGATGTACTTCGGTTGCTGCTGCTGACGTCAAATTGTTGCTTCGTCATTTCGTAGTCAGGGCGCTGAGCGCCAGTACGAGGAAGAGCTTCGATTGCGTTGTTGGTGGTGGCGAGAGTACGCTTTCATTGAGAATTGAGTTTGCTGCTTTGGTTCTCCTTCAATGTGACATCAGTGCATTTCTGCTTTCTGGACGGCTTTCGACTATCTGGCTTTCATTATGATTTTGCAATCAGGAATTCTGTATTTCAGACCGAACTTGCAATTTTTATTTTGAGAAATGACAAAATCCCGAAATAGTAAGTTCAAGAATCCTGCCCCCAATATCCCTTGTGTCCCCAACTTCGAAATAAAGAAAAAATCGAAATTGAACTGCAGGTACGTGCGAAATAAGAAAAAAAACGAAATAATCTGAGTTGCAAGAACTGAAAAAGAATTGCACCTCGAAATTCCAGAGATGAGAAATAGTGCAATTCAAAATTTTCTAAGTATCACCAATATACAGAAAACGAATTTGCGCAGTAATTCTGGTTTTTAAAAAAATCGAAATTTACAGGCAGCGGAATTCCCGAGCGCAAAGAGATATCAGAAATTTCTAATTAACTCGCTAATTAATCAACCAATCAATTAAACAACCAACTGATTGATTGATTGGCTGGTTCAGTGCCCTGCTGATCTAGCACGCGTCAGGCCAGGTGAGTCCTATCTCACCTAGCTTGGCTCCGACACCAACTGATGCGTACTTGGAATAATCCGAGTGATGCAATGAAGCCAAAGGATCAGCAAAGTGACGATAAGGACTCAAACGGACAATGCAGCATCAACGAAGCGTCAACAAGCAATGTACATCTATATACACACAAAAATAGCATAATGTAGCACAATCGAAGACTCAAAGATACGACCTGACCTGTCAGACGCTGACCCTACTCAGTCCATCATACACCACACAGGTGAGAGAGAAGGGAGGGACCACACACATGGAAGAAAGGTCCCTCCTTGAGCACGCACATGGGGAGAAACCACGGATGAGGGGATGGAGGAAGAGCAAGACGAAGACGGCGATAGCGAAGTTCAAAAATAGTCTCCCTGTCGAATGTCCAATCAATGGCTGCCCCTGCAATGTCGAATCGGATCCTGGGCGCCAGAGCCCGACATAACCTCTGCCTGTAACCTCCCTCTCTCTCTCTCTCTCTCTCTCTCTCTCTCTCTCTCTCTCTCTCTCTCTCTCTCT